CAATTTTTTCTTTTTAGAGACAGAGTCTCACTTTATCAACCTCTGTGTAGTGCTGCAGCATCATAGCTCACAGCAAACTCCAGCTCCTGGGCTTAGGCAAATCTCTTGCCTCAGCCTCCCGAGTAGCTGGGACTACAGGTGCCCGCCACAATGCCTGGCTTTTTTTTGTTGCAGTTTGGCCAGGGCTGGGTTTGAATTCGCCACCCTTGGTATATGGGGCCGGCGCCCTACCCACTGAGCCACAGGCACTGCCCCCACAATAATTACTTAGTGACAAATCAGAGTTGAGAGACACTTTGAAACTTTTGCATTACACTTAGTTACAATTAGTTGAAGTCTTAAAAAAAACCTGGAAGTTATTTTAAACTTTCCCGTCTACACCAATAAACCAGAAGAAATCATATACCCAGGGTCATTTTCACTGCCTTTCTTCATTTTTAAGAGACTGAACTGTAGCTGAGGGTTTAGGGCCATTCTTGCCTTGGGGGAATTGCCCTGGGCTTCCCTTCACAGGCCTCTAGTCGCCCAGAGAAGCCCCCTAGGGGAGTCCTTTTGCCCTTTGTTTGGAGCTGACCTTTAGTTAACATGATTTAGCCTTTTTTCTCACACACATGAAAACGCCAATTGAATTTAATTTTGCAATGAAAGACAATAAAAAGGACCTTGCAACACACCTACAACATTTGAAACACACTTAAAACATCCGAAAAATACCAGAACGAGCCCGTACAAACTTAGCTAGTAAATAAAGCAATCCTTTAACAACATTCAAACAAAGCATGCAAACTACAAAGAGAGAGAGAGAAGCTGAAGAGGTCTATAGAGATAAATAGGAAAAGTTTGGGACCATGGAAGAGAAGAGAAGATAGTAAAAGCTGGGAGAGCACAACTTTCAGAGACCTCCCATGTCCTGGGGTCAGAACCACTGCTGGAGACCCCAGGGCCTCTGAGTGCTACCTCTTTGCTCAGCTCTCAACCAGACAAAAGGAGTAAATATAGAACAGTTTCAAAAGTCTTCTAACATTCCCTTCAATTCCTTTGCCGAGCCGAGGGGAATTAGAAAGTTCGTTCCCCAACAGTCTCTCACCTGTGACCTGGATGTCAGCAGCCACACTATGCACATTTACCAGCTGATGAGCATTAAAATTATTAGTTTCCATTATAACTATAGAGAAAAGCACGACAGAGGTAAGTGGTCCCATTGCTTATGACAGATTGTCAATCCCGGATGTGAGCCCCCAAATATGATACAGGAATGTCGTTTTCCATAGGTTCTTGGGTCTCAGTGATTTGAAGAATAAATCCGCGGACCACAGATCAGTAGTAAGACAGGATTTATTTACAGAAAATAATACAGGGGTGGCGCCTGTGGCTTAAAAGGGTAGGGCACGGTCCTACCTGCTGGAGGTGGCGGGTTCAAACCCAGCCCCAGCCCCAGCCAAAAACTGCAAAAAAAGAAAGAAAGAAAGAAAGAAAATAAAAGAATACAAAAAACACCAGAGCTCCTGGCAGAGTGGGGAAAACGCAGTCAGGAGAGAAAAGTGCTCTCTCTCTCCCTGTCTGTCTGTCCCTGGGCTCTATGTTTAGGGGTATATATAGTCACATGGGGCCCTCTGTAGTTACATTCAGCAGGGTTCGGTAGTTACATTTAGTGTGTTGGTAGTTACATTTAGCATGCCTGGGACCCTCTGTGATGTATCTGGGATACTCAGTAGTTACATTTAGCATGTCTGGGACAACTCATCTGGGACAGTGTGTCTGGGACCTGTCTAGGACCCTTCTGGGAACTGAATGAATGGCTACAATGCCTTTCATTTCCAGGCTTAGGAAATTTACATGAAACTGACCAGGCCTAGAAAATGGGGGTTCCCTGTTTAGCCTAAGGTGCTGGTGTCTTCCTAGCAGTTGTCTGGACCCTCTGGCTACTGGAGCCTCCTGCAGGGCCCCCTGCTTACCCTTCAGCCCACTGGTTCCTCTGCTCTCTGCCACCGCATCAACAGCACCAAGGCGGAGGCAGCCGATCTGTGTCCCCTCCTACCTCAAGCTCCACAAGGTGGCTAGGACACCACTTGTCCTGTATCACTAGCACTCTGGGAGGCCAAGGTGGGTGGATAGCTTGTGCTCACAGGTTTGAGACCAGTCTGAGCAAAAAGCAAGACTCCCGTCTCTAGTAAAAATAGAAAAACTGGCTCGGCGCCTATAGCTCAACCGGCTAAGGCGCCAGCCACGTACACCTAAGGTGGCGGGTTCGAATCCCCAGCCCGGACTCGCCAAACAACAATGATGGCTGCAACCAAAAAATAGCCGGGCATTGTGGCGGGCGCCTGTGGTCCCAGCTACTTGGGAGGCGGAGGCAGGAGACTCGCTTGAGCCCAGGAGTTGGAGGTTGCTGTGAGCTGTAATGCCACGGCACTCTGCCCAGGGGGACAGCTTGAGGCTCTGTCTCAAAAAAAAAAAAAAAAAAAAAAGAATGGGAGACCAGAGGTGTAGGCCAGCTGTATCATGTCTGCCCCAGCCTGAGAAACTTCATTTTATTTTCAATATATGTGCTTTCATTGGAAACAAGTGTGCCTTCATTGTTGTGACAGCTCTAAGGAAGCATGTGGACTCTGCTCTTTTGCAGGAGGGTAGGTCAGGTTCTTTTACTTACAGTATACCTAGACTTACTTGGGCAAGAGTGAGTTTGTTCAAGGTGGGATTTACTGCTCTGGCTGTAGAACCATCTGCTATTGTTGAGCCTTTTTCATAGGTCTGTTTCTCTCGGCAAGTTCATCAGTGAAGGATTCAGCAGGAGACACGTTACACACTTACTCTGCTTAATCTGGGTAAATTTAATAAAGGGATTATTTACAAAAGTGTGGGGAGAGTTGAGAGAACAGAGGAGGGCTCCTAAGTACTGGATAACCCGTGTGCAGGGACAGGATTGGGTGTGAGGAGTGCAGCAATGTAGTTCTCACACCAGAAAGGAACGCTGTCCCGTGCATTGTGATTTTGGCTGTTTCATCTCCAAACTTCCAGTACAGCCTGGGTGCTCAATAAATGTCTGTTGAATGAATAAATGCATGGAAAGTCTGGAATGCCTGAATAAGCAAGTCTTGGAGTTATATACCCTGTATTTGAATCCAGGCTCTGAATGACCTCAACCTTCTGAGCTTGCGACCTCATCTGTAAACCGGAATAACAATAAAGCCTGCCTCCTGGGGTTGCTGTATGGATTAAAAGAACAGCTAGTTACAATGCTTACTAGGTAAAAGAAGACTTTAAATATTTACTAAATAAAGGCGCACAGTTAAAGCGCTTCACTATATTATCTTTCACTAATTAATTAATTCCGTTAAAAGTATTTACCGAACACCTATAACACGCCAGGAATTTACTCAAGTCGGTTCTACTAAGGCTGGTGGCCTGTGGGGGGCGGAGCTTTAGTTTTCCCGCCCTTAACAGCGAGGCCCAATCAGACCCTCAGAAGCTGTTAGGGCCACTTCACAGCTGCAATACCGGAAATGGGAGAGGGGTGGCTACATATATTTCCGGTGGAGACCGCGGAGCCGCGGGAGGTGTGGATCCTTCCCTTCAGTTTGCTCCGGGAAGATGTTCTACCACGTGAGCAGGGCACTGGGTGGTGGCACAGGCGGGGTAGAAAAGAGGAGCTAGGCCAGTGCCTGGGCGAGGGGCCGCTTCTCGCCCCATAACCTAACTTGGCCTGGTCTTCATCCCACTGATCCCCGCAGATCTCCTTGGAGCACGAAATCCTGCTGCACCCGCGCTACTTTGGCCCCAACTTGCTCAACACTGTGAAGCAGAAACTCTTCACCGAGGTGGAGGGGACCTGCACGGGGAAGTGAGTGCCGCTCCCTCCGTGCGGCCAGATCTATGCGCGCGGGGCTATTAGCTGCAGTCCCTCCCCGTCCCCTACTCATCCAGCAAGGCCCTGCCTCTGGCTCGGCTCGCGGGCAGCCCTATCACTCTCCCAGGCAGCCAACTGCATCCTGATTTGGGTTACTATAGCACACTCTGCAAAGATGGATAACAAGACGTCCCTTAGCTGAGGTCATTCATTTACTCCGCAAACATTTTCCAAACTCTTGCTGTCTCCCAGACCCTGTGTTGGGCTCTGGGAACATGTAGTGAACAAGAGTCCAACCCTTGTGGAGCTCACACGCTGATCATTGTTGCTTTTTCTGTTCTCCCTCTGTGATTCTGTTTGTTTTCTCTGTCCTGTGTGCTCAGGCACAGCATGGGACATCATTAGCCTCTGTGTTTCCGGAATGACCAGAAAAAGCAGCCTGAGAGTTTGAGGGAGGAAAGAAGAGGGCTGGGACTTGGACTTTGCACAGAGTGGCGGCTCAGAGGGTGCTATTAATGAGTGGGGACTTACAGGGCAGGGCAGTGGAGTACTTGGGCCTCCAGAATAATCTGAGTTTTTTTTTCTTTTTTTTTTGAGACAGAGTCTCAAGCTGTCATCCTGGGTTGAGTGCAGTGGCATTATAGCTAACAGCAACCTCTAACTTTTGGGTTCAAGCAATCCTCTTGCCTCAGTTTTTTCTATTTTTGTAGAGACGGGATCTTGCTTTTTGCTCAGGCTGATCTCGAACTCCTGATCTCAAGCAGTCTACCTGCCTTTCCCAGACTGCTAGGATTATAGGCATCAGCGACGCTCAGCCAACCTGAGGTGGTTTTTGAAGATGCAGGTTCCAGATCCTCATTATTTGCTAAGGAATCAAGACACTGTGGGGTCAGGTGTGAGAATCTGCATTTTAATAAGATAATTCTGAAGCACTCCAAGGACTGAGAACTGTTAGTTCAAAGACTGCAGCCTTATAGCACATTTATTGTAAAATTACCAGAGTAGCATTTTAATTTTTTGAGACAGTCTCGTGCCACAGTTGAGTGCCACATCTTCAGTAGAGCTCACAGCAACCTCAAACACTGGGCGATTCTCTTGGCTTAGCCTTCCAAGTAGCTGGGACTACAGACACTCACCACAAGGCCCAGCTATTTTTTTTTTTTTTTTTTTTGTTGTTGTTG